ACCTTGTTGTCTCGGATTCTCCAGCATCTGCAGTTCCTACTATCTCTGATTCGAGCATGTGTAACAAGATGGGTAAATTAATAACACAAATACAAGTAAATGAGCATGATATACTAGACATTAGAGACAAGTTGCAGGGCAACTATTGCTTAGATGACTATTCAAAGGTATTTGATGTTTGGGAAGTAGAGGAAAAAGGGAGAAGTTGGTGGGGTGGTTCCTTTAATAAAGGCCAATTAAATTCAGTGAGAAGTGATGTTGGCTCAGGGGATAAAAATGTAAAGTTAGTTTGGGCGGAGGTAAGAACTAGGGAACGAAGGAAGTCACTGCTGGGACCTAGGACTGATTTCTCAGAACATTGGTTGGAGGTGTTGCACCAAAGATGATGATTATTTAATCAACAGGAAGCTACAATGTTCAGCACCATTCCTGAATCCTCATACTTAAACTGCCAGTGTCAATATGCAGCTAGACTTCGACAACATTGGACATAAAAATGGCCAGTTACATTTGTGTCACACCAGTGGCGGGGAATAACCATCTCCAACAAGGCAAAATATAACCACCACCCTTGGACATTCAGTGGTATTGCTATTGATGAATTACTAACATCCTGGGAATTATCATTGACCGGAACCTAAGCTAGACCAGCCGTATAAATACTGTGGCTATAAAAACAGGTTACAAACAAGAAACCTGATGGCAAGTAGGTCAGCCACCTGACTCCTCAAAGCCTGTAAATCATCTATAAGAGGCATGTCAAGATTGTGGTGGCGTATTCTTCACTTGCCTGGATGAGTGCAACTGCTTCAGCACAATTTCTACCGGACACTGCTAAATTGTCCATAGTGCCCAGGGATGTTTAGGATAGTGTGGACTCGTTGGGCTGAATGGCCTGTTTCCACACTGTAGAGATTCTTGTGTTTTTTTTTAAAAAAAAAGCAGCTGCACATTCACTCTCTCAACTATCAATACACAGTGTGTACCATCTACAAGATCACGGTTCTTTCAGCACTTTCCGAACCTGCAACCTCTACTATCAATATGGACAAGGGGCAGAAAGTTGCCCTTTAACTGACACACCATCCTGACTTGGAAGTGTATTTCCTTTCCTGCACTGTCGACCTGTGCCCTTCCTAACAGCACTGTGCAAATATCTGCACTCAAAGGACTCCAGTGGTTCAAGGGCAGCTCGCCGTCCACAGCATCTCAAGGTATTTGAGAAGAGGCAGTTAAGCCTGGGCCGACCAGTGACGTACATTCTGGTTTTCAAAAAAGTTTAAAAATCTTCCAGAATTTTCTTCCTTCTGGAAAGGTTGCAGTGGATTGAAAAATGCAAATGTGACAGCAGTATTCAAGAAGAGAGGGAGACACAAAGCAGTAATCTATGTAGGACAAGCTAACGTTGGGCAAAATGCTGGAATCTGTTATTACAGGAGAGAGTAGCGGGACATTTAGAAAATCATGTAAATATGTTTGGCAAATTTATTAGGCGACTTTGAGGACATGAGATTTGATAAAGGGGAACCATAGTACTTGTGTATTTGGATTTACAAAAGCCATTTGATAGAGATTCATAAAAAGTCACTGCACAAGATAAGTGTTCACAGTGGTTGTGATAATAGGTTAGCATGGAAAAAGAATTGTTTAACTAAATGAAAGCAGTTAGAATAATTTTTAATCGGCTTGTTTGGATTTGGAAATGGCACTTGTCTGGGGTAAATAGGACTTAACCCAGACTTTCTGGCCCAGAGATAGGGTGACCACTACTGCACCAAATGGGTCATTTCAGGTCAGCAAACTAGCAAGTGGGTTGCTGCAGGAATCTGTGCTGGGGCCTCAGTTGTTTACTGTCGGTCTTGACTTGGATGAAGGGACTTGCCTATATTGTGACCAATTTGCTGCTGATACAAAGAGAAGTAGGAGGGCAGTTTGTGAGGAAGATCAATAGATAGATCATTGGGCAAATAAATCTGTATATGTGGGAAGATGAGTTTCACCAGCAGAAAAGCAGAATATTATTGAAATGGAGAGAGAACCTGCCAAATGTTCCTATGCGGAAGGATGTGTGTTCGTATTCATGAAGAATGACAGATGAGATGAGATTGTTAAAACACAAGATTCTGATGAGGCTTGATAGTGTAGGTGCTGGGCAGATGTTTCAGCTCATCTAATATAGAACTAGGAGGCATAGTTTAAAACAGACTCTCCTTTTTTTTTAAGTGGAGGATGAGGAGGAAATTCTTTTCTGGAATTCTTTTGTACACAGAGCTGTAAAGATTCTATAATCCAGGCTGTTAGACAAATCTTTGAGTGACAAGGTCGTTAAGGTCACAGTCCAATCAGCCATGATCATATTGAATGATGGAACAGACTCAATGGGCATAATGACCACCTCCTGTTATGCTTTTTTTAAAAAATTGATTACATCTCCAAGTGTTATAATCAACAACTTTATAATTGTTTCCTATACTGAAGTGCAAATCAATACCACACTTCTTGATGTGTTAAAATTAACACTGATCTTTGGGGACGTCACTATATACTTAACCAGAGTCTGAGAAACAAACCGTATATCCATTACTCTTTATATCTTAAATGAAAACCAAAAAATCAGAAACAAAAACAGAAATTGCTGGAAAAGCTCAGCAGGTCAGGCAGCATCTGTGGATGGAAATCAAGAGTTAACGTTTTGGGTTGGTTTCTGAGGAAGGATCACTTGACCCAAAACATTAACTCTGATTTCTTTTCCACAGATGCTGCCAAAACTGCTGAGCTTTTCTAGCAAATGTTGTTAATGTTCAGTCTTTATATCTTAACTGATTTTGTATCCTACTGCTACTATCCATTTCACTCCATGGGCTATGATTTTGCAAAAACGTTACTTTGATTTCATACCAGCTGTGTTACAAAGTTGGTGCACCGTACTAATATTTTTTAAAAAGCATCCTGTGTTTGCATTCTTATTGAAAGAACCAATTCCAAAACCTCTTCTGGCAAAGGCTGCTACTGATTGCAGCTCTGCATGTTATACATTTACCTTGTGTAAAAGTTTGCCTAGAAGGCCATGGAATCAGAACAGCACAACTTGAAAGAGTGCCACTGTCAATATAGATGTTGAAATATAAAACTTAAGGTTATCGTTTAACTGAGATAATCACTCTAATTTGGGGTTGTCTGAGCCTTTAAATGTTTCCTTTTTAGCTAAAGAAAGTGAGGACAAGGAAAACTTTCCAAAACGTTCTTCAAGTCCAAGCTTCAAATTTACGTTTTCGCATACCTGTGCATCTGGTGCAGCAAATGGAACAAATGGGACTAATAGTAAATCAACGGCAGCTCAGACCGCTCCAGCCAGTTCCACTAGTTCCGCAAAGCATACCAGTTCATCTACTGCAATGACGACAAAGGTTTGAATCACCTTGTGTTCAAATATCTGTTTCAAGTTTTAAGTATAAATTTGGAATTTGATTACTTCCTAGGCTTCAAATTTAGCTTCTTGTTTTACATTTACTTGGATGCAAGGATTTGAACTCTTGATCAACTTAAATTAGTCTACTGGAAATTTTGTTTTGGTGGGACTGTTTTGTTAGTAATAAATTTGTTAATGAATGAAGGTAGATTGAAGTAAATCTGAATGAGGTGTCAAAATTGAATTGGTATTTTTTGACTTTGTTTTTAATCTTTGGAACTATTTCAAACAAAAGTTTAGACCAATGTAGTGAAAATGCTGTGGATTGCTGTAGGTTTGTTCTGCAGTGTAAATTGTGTGTAAATTATCTACTTCAACTTGTGTCCTTGCCAATGTTCTAATATGTTTTCGATAGGAAAACTACATGTTGCTTTAAATGTTTGTTTTTCTTGAATTTCCTTAGGGAGGTCTAGTGGGACTTGTAGATTATCCTGATGATGAGGAAGAGGAGGAGGAAGAAGAAGCATCACCAAGAAAACGACCTCGTCTAGGCTCATAATTGACGCATGTGATGGCTTACTTTGGGGTCTGATACAATGGTGCAACTGTTCCTTAAGCTTGGGGTCTTAATCAGGAATGGCTGCTTCACTGTGACTACAGAAGATGCAACACAAGGAGTAGCAAACAGTGTGCCAATGTTTCAACTAGAGGGCTTGAGTTCTGTGTGGCAGCAACACGCCACTGGGGAACTGGACCTCTCTGGAACAAACTTGGAAAGGAAAACCGGCCAATCAGGCTGGCAGGGCTAGCAGTTAGTGATTGGGAGCCTGATTGACAGTTTCCCAAATGGGGAAGAGATTCAGATTTGGGGCGGGTTAGGGAAAGCTTGAGCAAGGGAGCAGGAACTGCACAAAAATGATGTTTTGGAATTCTTTGCCAGGAAACAAAAACTGGGATAGGCGTGCAAAGTATCAGTTGAAAATCCTTTCAGTCTGAAATGAATTAGTTGCTGTCCCATGTGTTAATCCTCATTCTTGTTTTATTTACCTCCAATTCCATGTGTAAATTGGAGGGAAGGAAACCTGTCAAAATCTTTCTTAGCAGAGGAATTCAACCTACTACTGGGACCATAATGATGAGACTGCCATCATGTTCACTGGATCTTTGAGCATCCAATGGGCCTGTTAAGCATTTTCTAATCAAAATGGTGAATGGTTGGAAAAGCACAGAAGAACATGCACCTCAGTCATGTGCTATACTACAGATAGACTGTCTCACGAGCCTGTGTGTAAAAGCTGGTACTCGTGACTGCAGCGAGAATGGTTTGTGATCGAGACTGTTGCTTTTATCTCATCTACTGTTATACATTGTGGCAGTTCCCCAGGCCAAACATGCCACTTAACAAAAATAACATTATCCCAATCTGATTTTTATGTATATTTTTGGGTATTATATTGCAGGTTAACATTTCATTATAACTGTTAGGCAAGTTTCTTTTAGGGAACACTAATTTTAACAGCTGACTGATGGTAACAGTGGGGAGTTGTAACAGATAGCTGCAACAAACGTGAGTCTTAACTAGTCTGCCTTTGCTCAGACAGTCAGTCAGTCATTTCTGTGCAGTAGTTAAGATCTAAGCACAGTAGAAGGCTCAAGTTAGGTTCCAGATGCTTTTATTGCACAGTGTGGTGTTCTAGTTCATTTTTAATACAGTGGTTAACGCAGGTTGTTAAACCAGCTGTAGCCAAATAGCCAACTGGCAATCTGTGTGTTACAAAATGAAATCAAAACTTTTTACAGCTTTTTTTTTTTTTTTTGAAGTCATCTGCATCCCTTGGTATTTTGGAGGTTTTGTAGCTCAACTTAAATATTCTTTGGAAAAAATGGGCCGTCTGTCATGTAGATATGAAGTATAGTTTTTCCATAAAACAGAAGTTTATTTTGTATGGATGAATAACCACCACTGTAACTGTTATTTTACACTGTTTGTATACATGTGTTGATATTAATGAAGCGATGTAAGATTCAGGAATTAAAATGTGACCCTGTAATTCCATAAACAGAATGCTGTTGTGTCTATTTTCTGGTAAAGGTCAGAACTTTTTTACTGGTGCTGAATTGTAAACTGAGAATCAATTAATTGATCAATTGGATTGTTTGTTTTAGGACTTAGTTTTATTTATAGGATTACGCACAATGTTTTAAAAATAAACCAAAGCAGCAACTAAATGTGTCGTGCTAATCAAAGTTGATTTTCAGTTGTCATTTGGGTTAATTAAATGACTATTTTATATGAAGTTATTTTGTATGGAAGTGTGTAATTTTAAACACATATTTAGATCTTTTTCTTTCTTCATAGTGTTGTCATTCATTACATTTCACTTTAGAAGATGTATCTTCAGCCATAATCCCTTCCACAAATGAGCATTAAACTTCTAAACTATGCAGAACTACATCAACGTTCCTCCCTCATATAGAGTTTTACATGTGCTATACCAAACGTTCATACAGTGTAACAAGAGAGCTAGAATCTACATATTACCTGCATCCTACCATACAGGTAACTGTGTATGTTACTTGTCTGTAACTAGTTAATTTTGAAATGAGTGATTTTTATGATAAATGTTGCTGCTTGTGATTTAAATACAAAGTAGAATTTTTTAATCTGTTTACCTAAAAGCAGTTTGAGAACTTTTGCTTTTATTTTTCAAGCAATAATTTGATAATCCAAGAACTTCAATTAGTTTTGGTAAACTTGGCCTTTTATATTCCAATTACCAATGAACAAAATTAAAATTTATTGTGTAACTTGTCTCTCTCTCTTATCTTCCTGCTGCATGTGACTGGAGGACCTATGTGCACTGGTCCATCACAGTGTCTTTCACTGCAGCCCAGGTGATGTCTCACTCTTAAATTCTCCTTAAATTTACTTCCCCAGGTCAGTCTTCTCTGCCATACCATGTTGCATCTGGTGGTGTCCATTCACTGGTACTCTGGCAGGGTATGTCCGGATGACAAAATGTGCCCTGCCTATCTCAGTTGCCTCTCGTTGTGATGACATTTTGGTCCTTCTGACTAGTTGTGTGTCACTCAACTTCACTTGGTAATGTCTTTCCAAGCAATGCCCGAAATTCAGCCTTGAATCATTTTGAGTCTGTTGACATCAGGTGAATTTGGCAAATGGTCTATAACATCTTACAGTTTTCAGATGTAGAAAAAAATCAAGTTATCATTTTAGGTCATGCACTTTAACATTTCCCAAATAGAATAATTCTCAAGTACCTGTTGCATGAGAGATTCTGCACCAGTTGTTGGACTCTGCTTTGAGCAGCAGTTTAGAAACTATTCAGTTTAATTTGTTGAACTGTGAGCCTAACGTTAGAAATACCCCTACTTAAGCTGCTTGATTTTGTTGTTTTTTCCTGCTGGATGTCACTGGCAAGGTGAGTTACCCATCTCTAATTGCATTTTGAAGTAAGGGCTTGCTAGGCCATTTCAGATATCAGTTGAGTCATCCACATTCCTGTGGGTCTGGGGTCACATATAGGTCAGACCAGCCAAGGATGACAGATTTACTTTCCTGAAGGACATTAGTGAACGAGATAAATTTTTAAGACAATCTGTTAGTTTCTCGGTAATCATATAATTAGTCCTAGGACCAATTAAAAAGGACTAAATACAATTCTAACTCATCATGTAGTCAATATAGCAGATCAAGAATGGGACAATTTGAAAGAGAAAAATCATCATTTGCCATTTCTTTTGGGCAGCCAATGTTGAAATAGTACTTGGAGCAATTGTAAAAGCTGAGTTGAGCACTGCACTTCCCATTGGAATGCAATCACTTTTTAGATTTGATCTTACAGAATCACCATTTTATTGGAGGGATTCTGTGAGAATTGTTCACTTTTATACTTTGTCTTGTTTTAAAGTCAGTGTTGAAATCTAAGGAGTGATTTGAAATTTTAGTTCTGTTTTTGATTTAGACTTCATAAAATGTTGTGCATAATCCAATTAACTTCCAAGTGTTCGCCCAAGTACCTGTAATTGTTTCAGGATGTTGTATTATAGTGCTACCTTTTTAGAATTGCCTGTTAAATATTCTTTGTTAAATGATTTTATTGCTCTTGCTGTCTCAGTGCCGATCTAACAATTGTAGGGATTTTTATTGGATTAAGAATAATTTAAGTAAAATTGTTTATTAAAGATCACTGTACTACTTGACACCAGTTTTTTAATGAGTGAGGAATTAAGAGTAAATTGTTTCGTAAACATACCTGAAAGCCTCATTACTTCTAAAATTAATGAAAATGTACATTTGCATGTTGCATTTCAAATGTTTGAAAATGCACTATTAGCATATTGCAGAAGGGATTTACTATTTTTAAATATGTAGGATGCTTTCATTCTTTCGTATTTAATGTTATAGAAATAAGTATACCCAGTTATTTTGTGGTTTTTCTAAGAGGCCAAAGATACCTGTTACAACATGTGTAGAATATCAGCATAATTTACTATATTGGGAGCTCTTGATTGATTGTTTTAGGGATCATGGAGAGATTTCAGATTTTCCCTATGGATGTTTATTCTAGTTTATATTGCTCAGGAAATTGTCAGTCTTTGTAAGTTTACGTAGTTAATGGCAACAAACTTGATTTGTAAATGCTAATGAGAAAATGTGAGTAAGAGTTCTAATTCACAGAAGCAGCTAACATAATGAAGTCACCTCCTCCTAAAGGCACATATTCAGTTCTGCTGCATCCTCAATATGACCTAAAATGTTATCGACCAATATTTGAAATGCAGCTACTGCTATAATTGAATGTGGCAGGGACTTAGCAGAGCATGGTGCTGTAGAGTTTCCCATATTATCTTTGCTGCTTTGAGGATAAAATTGTTGGTCAGGGCTCCGAGAATTTCTGACTCTTTCAACAATTCTTTGTTTGCCTGAACTGGCCGATCGGGCCTTAGCATAATGTCCCTCCTAAAAGTTAGTACAAGTAGTATACTCCTAGCAAGAAACAAACATTGCAGAATTTTACATTCTCCGCACTGAATTAAAGATGATGGAGGAAGGCTATGTGCCAACCTATCCTTTAGTTGTAAATGCAGCACTAAATGTGAATATACTAGATATTTAGGTGTTAATTGAAAATGGCCACCTTTGTCTGAAATTTAAAATTACTTAAATGATGCAGAACCAAATATGATTGCTTATTGGAAACATGGTTACCTATTCTACAGCGTGGATTGCAAGCAAGTTCCAAATATTCGTACGTTCAGCTGTCTAAAGTGAAGGATAGTATGAAGCTTGAGTCAGGAGAAATTACATTTATAGACTCCTAAGTCCCTGTGAAAATAGATGTTATGTGACATATTCCTGTCAAGCAGTAATTTAGGGGCACAGGTGCAATAAGTTGTTAACTTGGTTGTATTAAAATTTCTTTCTAACAGGCTGCTGTCAGCATGTTTAGGAAGGTACTTGAATGTCTTCCATGATGATGTACTGTGAAAGATGTTAAACTTGAGAGGGTGCAGAAAAGATTAACAGGATGTTGCTCGGAATGGAGAGTTTGAGAGGAGGAATAGTCTGAGGCTAAGGGGTGACCTTGTAGAGGTTTCTAAAGTCATGAGGGGCATGGATAGGGTACGTAGGCAAGGTCTTCTTCCTAGAATAGGAGTCTAAAACTAGAGGGCATAGGTTTAAAGTGAGAGGGTAAAAATTTAAAAAGGACCTGAGGGGTAACTTTTTCATGCAGAGGGTAGTGTGTATATGGAATGAGCTGTCAGAGGAAGTGGTTGGAGGTGGGTACCATTGCAACATTTAAAAGACATCTAGATAGGTATATGGATAGGAAGGGTTTAGAGGAATATGTGCCAGATGGGACTAGGTCAGTTTGGAATGTCTGGTCAGCACGGATGAGTTGGACCAAAGGGTTTGTTCCTATGCTGTATGACTGAGAATGTGCTTAGTTCACGAGCCTTTTTCTAGATTCCAGCAGAGTGTTTCTTCAAGTATTTTATCTGTCACAACTTTGGAAAATACAAGTCTTAAGACACTTAATGCTGCAGTTCTCTTGGACATTATAGGATGGAATTCAGAACAGGTTGTATAATGAGGGAAATTTTTATATACTTGCAATAGTAGGACCAGAAATTTGGAACTACAACTCTTTGGGGGTTGTTATGGGGAGAGATTATGCAAATTAGGCCTGTTTTCTGTAGAATTTAGAACATTGTGGTGATCTGATTGAAGTCTTCAACATATTAACAGGAAAAGACATAGATAAACAATTCCATTGGTTGGAGATTCTAGAAGACCACAGATCAGTCATTATCTCATTTAATAGTGGAGCATGCTTAAGGGCCTGAATGGCCTGTTGCTGTTTCTACATTCCTAAATGTAATCTTTGGATATCTCCAAGCCTGAGGGAAGTTGGTGTGGCTAAATAAGACCAGAGTTGTATCTGTGGCTCAAAGATTGGTATGAGAGAAATGAGTTTTGATTCATTGGCACTGGCACCAATATCGGAATGAAGGGGAATTTTACTGGTAGGATGGCTCTCACTGCAACCATAATGGAACCAGTGCACTTGTGAATTATAGAGATAGGGCTGTAAGGGGTACTTTAATGTAGATTTGAGGAGGTCACAGTTTGAGAGAGGTGATTTGGGAACTTGGAGAAAGGACAGGATAAAAATATAGGTGATGACCAGAACCTAATAGGAATGGAGGGAAAACATTCTCTGGTCCACTCGTGTTAATGTCATTGTCCCTTTAATCATGCTTCCACAGACTGTGTTTCAGTAATAAGAGGGATAGATTCATGGCACAAATAGAAATAAATAGGTGGGCTGTCTTCTGGCACCTCCAAAAG